GCTCCCTGTGTCTGGCTACCAGCTTCATTACCTATAGCAATTCCCTTGTCACCCTGGTCATACTCACCCGCGCTAAACCCGATACCAATGGTTTCCGTCCCCTGGTTGATTTTACCCGACCGTCGCCCGATCGCGATACCGTACGCACCCTGCGTATTCTCACCAGCCGAACTTCCTATGGCAATAGCCAATTCACTCTGGTCTGTAGTTCCAGCCGAACTTCCTATGGCAATAGCCAATTCATTCTGGCCTGTAGTTCCAGCGTCAATTCCAATTGCCACCGCGGAAATTCCCTGGTTGATGATGCCGGAGTTGCGACCTAGTCGCACTGATGTAGTGCTTACTTTCCACGACATGTATTATATTGTCGCCTTTTATATATCTGAAATTAGATCTGTCTGAATGGGTTAATTCACTTTTGGACGTATATACCATCTGGGTTTTCGTCGAATATGCATTCCCCACTTTGAACCAACAACTAACCGTTCGAGTCTTAGCCGGAAGAGACGAATTGGGACCTAATTCGTATGGTGGAGTACGTCACGTATCCTGTTCACTGTACATACGCTGCGACTCAGTGATGTCGCCGGTCGCATTGACGTCTTGGTGTATGCAATGCACGCGGACCGCGGACTAGGTCTAATGGGTGTAGGCCAGCGCCAGCGGTAGAACGCGAGCAAAGGTGAGCTTGCTCTCGCGAAACAATACCCCTTGCCAATTTTTGGCTCACCCTTACTTTTCAGCTTTATAATTTTTTTTTTAAAAGGATAACACTAAAATATAAATAAAATATATTATGTCCTGGAAACTTGGAACCGTTGGTGTCCGCATAGGACGCGGCGCCGCAACCATCGGTCAGGACGACAAAGCAACCGCAGTCGGTACAAATGCCGGGACCATGAACCAGGGGGGCGCCGCCGTGGCTATTGGCGACCACGCCGGTGCGTACAACCAGGGTCGCAACAGTATAGCCATCGGTTCGTCGGCTGGGCGCGAGAACCAGCACGACAACACTATAATCATCAACTCGTCACATTTGCCACTCAACAGCCGGCAACCAGACTCGACGTTTATACGTCCTGTACGCGAATCTACCGGCACACACTCACTCTGGTACAGTCCCACCACCGGCGAAATGACACACAATTCTAGCGACGACGTCCCAGGAAGTGATGGTAACTCGGGCGTCGGCATTGCGGATCTTGTATACGATCCTGTTAATGACCGGCTCACTATTGTCCTGGAGGACGGTACGTCCATCCCCCAGCAGCTACAGCTACAGGGACCCATGGGACCCAAGGCACCGATCGGCCCAAGTGGTCCGGACGGCGTTGGGGTTGAATTGTTCACTATCGACGACCAGGGTCGCCTCGTCGGTACACTAACCAACGCGCAGCAGATTATTCTGGACGTCATCGTGGGACCGACTGGTCCTCTGGGTTTGGGCATTAAAACGATCGTCGTCAACACATCCAACGAGCTAGATGTTGTGTTAACCGACAACCAGACGAAAACGCTGACCGGCCCTACGGGGACGGGTCAGCACGGCACAAGTATAGTGGACGTGGACGGACAAGCCGGTGTTGATGGTCTAACATTTGAGATGAATGACGACACGACGATTAGCCTTGCGCCATTTAAAGGCTCCAAAGGTCCCGACGGCGCAACTGGACCAACCGGGCCCACGGGACCTGACGGTAGTGCCGGTGGCAGTGGCGGTGTGGGTAGTACCGGGGCCGTGGGTGATACGGGCGCCAAAGGCACCGATGGACCGGCTGGACCGAAGGGCCCCCCGGGTACAAGCTCGATTGCCGGGGCTACGGGGCCAACGGGCCCAACAGGTCCAACGGGTGCGACAGGGACATTTCTTTCGGTAGGAGCGTGCTTGTCCGACTACATAGTCTGTAACCCACTTGCACCACTCAAGTGGGAAACCGGGAGTACGTTAGGGGAAACAACAGCGATCAAAATTGGGTGCAACGCTGGACTCACGGGACAGAGTCCCAACAGTGTTGCTATAGGTACGGACGCGGGTTCGTTAAACTCCGGACAGCGGGCCGGTACTACAGTAGGGTCGGCAGTGGCGATTGGTTACAAAGCAGGAGAGAAAAATGCTGAGGAAGAGACCGTTGCCGTAGGAAGTCATGCGGGCAGTGAGGGCCTGCCGGCGAGGTCCGTGGCAGTCGGTTATAACACAATGAATAACGGTTCGGGTATTGCGATTGGAGCAGGGGCTATGTCGGATTCGGGGTCTAGAAACAACACCAACATTGTCGCCATAGGGTATGACGCGGCGAAATCCGGCATTGGGTCCGAATCTGTCGCCGTTGGGTATGCGGCGGCAAAAAACTCAAATGGCGTAGGTGTCACTGCACTTGGAGCTTATACCGCAACTACGGCAGGTGATTATGCCGTTTGCATCGGGGCTGGTGCAGGGTATGGATCTGCTGCTCCTGGGAGTATAATAATTAACGCACGGGCGACTAGTAGTAACATAAACCCCCTGAATTCAACAATACCCGGCGCGGTCCACATAGCCCCCGTTCGAAATCTGGTGGGACCTACTGCTCTACACTATAACCCCACGACATATGAGATTACACATGGTT